CAGGGGGGTTGGGGAGTTCTTCCCCTTCCCACCCAAGGGTAGGGGCAAATTGGGGAAGTTGGGGGCCTTTCCCCCTTTTCAATACAAAGCCAGGGGGGATCAGGGGGGTTGGGGGCGCCCCCCCCCTTCCCACTCCGGGGCAAGGGCGTGATGGGGGGGGTTTTTGCTTCTACCCCGTTACACACCAGAACCAGGGCCCCTTGGGGGGGGGGGGGTTGGGGCCCCCCCCCCCTGTCACCACACAGAAGCAGGGGCAGAATAGGGGAAGTTGGGGGAGCTTCCCCCCTTTCCAGGGCACAGAGCAGGGCTGATCAGGGGGTTGGAGCGCCTTCCCCTGTCACGAACAGAGCAGGGTGGATAGGGAGGTTATGGCCCTGCCCCCTGTCACACACAGAGCCGCAGGGCAATCAGGGGGTTTGGGTACTGCCCCCTGTCACACTGATCCCGGTGCTGGGAGGCCTCGCAGCTCCGCTGATCCCAGTGCTGGGAGGCATATTACCCTTTTACTATATAGGATAGAGGCCTGGTGCACGGGTGGGGGCCGGCTGGTTTGCCCTGAAGGGTGTCCTGGATCAGGTTGGGGGTCCCCACTGGGGTGCCTGGCCAGCCTGGATGAGGGGATGATGGCTGTTTGCAGCTGGTCACACGCCCTTCAGGGTGGGGGTCCCCACTGGGGTGCCTGGCCAGTCTGGGTGAGGGGCTAAGGGCTGTTTTCAGGCTGGCAGGTGACTGAAGCTCCCAACTGCTCCTTTTTTTCTTTTCTTTTTTTATTCTGGGCCAGCTTTAGCTCTGAGGCTTGGCTCCAGTTCTTAGGCCTCGGCTGCTGAAAGCAGGTATCTGGTTTGTTTGGGTTCTATAATTGAAACAATGTTGTGGTCCTGCTGGCTGAAGCCTGGCTAGCTGAAAGTAGGTTTCTGGGGTTTTGTTTAGCTTCTATATTTGTTAACAATGTTTCAAACTGCAAGCTCAGAGGCCGGCAGCAGCAGGCGGGGAACGTTGGAGTCCTCCGTCACTGAAGCAAGCAAGCCTCCTGTTAGCTTCAAGCTGCCTGGCTGCCGGCCGCCATCTTGGCTGGCAGTTAATTTGCATATTGCCCTGATTAGCCAATGGGAAGGGTAGCAGAGGTATGGCTAATTACCATGTTTCTCTTTTATTAGATAGGATAGATTATTATTATTACTGATTTTTTTTTTTTAGAGAGAGAGAGAGGAAGGGAGAGAGAAACATGGATTTGTTGTTTCATTTATGCATTCATTGGTTGATTCTTGTATGTGCTCTGACCAAATGGAACCCCCAACCTTGTGATCCCCACAACCTTGGCCTATGGGGATGATGATCTAACCAACTGAGCTATTCCGCCAGTCTATTCTTAAGGAAAGACCAGTTTCTGGCCCAGTGCCTTATTACTGCAGCAGCCCTGCCTGGGGCCCCTGGAGCCCCTGCCTGTCCTCCTGGGTGTATGATCCATGAATCTTCCCTTTACTGGAACTGGGTCCTATCTAGTCTGGGAATTTGTGATGTCAGGAAGCATTATGTATTCATGAGACCAAAATAAAATCAACCCATGAACACTGACAAAATTTTCCTCTATCACCTATTCTCCTATAAAGGTTGGTCTGTCTCCCTTGCTGAAGAATTGCAGAAATACAACACTGGCCCTTTTAGCAGTTATTGTAGTCCAACAGCAGAGTAAAGAGGTTGTTAGCAAGGACAATTTGCCCTCTACCCACTAGCTGGCAATTAACTATCAGTACGGTAGGGCTCCATTACCCAGTGCTGTGTGGAAACTAAGGATTCTAGAAACGCCTCAGATTAGCCAAGACCAGAAAAATCTGAGGCAAAACTTAAATATAATATTTCCCCTGGAGAACATAGTGCATGTTTTATTGTTTGGAGAAAGCCTGGTAAAAGTGTTCAGCTGGTGTGCAAGAAAGAAGACAGACATTTTCTGCTCATGGACCCGCTGGAGGCGTCCTTCAAGAGGCAGGTGGGAGGGAGCCTGAGGATCGAGGTTTCGGAGTGGGGACAGGCCCTGTTTGAATGCAGGACCTGGTGGCTTTATTTGTTAACCGATTGGGTCCAGTCTGGGAAATGCACACTCAGCAGGGAAAGTGGAAGAAAGATTAGCGGTAGTTTTCTTTTTCTTTTTCTTTCTTTTTTTTATTGTCTAAAGTTTTACATATGTCTCCTTTTTCCCCCTGGATTGACACCCCCCCCCCCACCGCAGCCATTCCCACCCTGGGCAAGCCCCCACCGCCCCAGTGTCTGTGTCCATTGGTTATGCTAAAATGCATGCATACAACTCCTTTGGTTGCGGTAGTTTTCTAACACAACACAGCTCAAGTCTTCGGCTTGTGTCCCCTTGCTCACCCCGCCGAGGCACCAAACCGGCTCCTGGAACAAGCTGGCCACGGAGATACCACTCCGAAGAAGGCGGGTATCTGTGACTCCAGATTGCCCTGGCCGCTGCACCCGCCTGGTTCCTCAATTCTATCAATCTACCAGTTTTTGATTGGTGCCTCTGCCTCCAAGCCTTGGGCTGAGTAGATAGGAGGCACCTCAAATATGCTTGTGCCACTCGCCTGGCACAGCTGAGGACTAGTGCTGGTGGGGCTGCGCCCCGCTAAAGAGGTTTAAGGATAGGCACCAGGGTTCCCTCTGCAGCACTTCCTCCCCGGGGGACTGCGCTGGGCGCGGCTGGTGCCCCCTCCTCACCTTCCGCCCGCCTTCTGGGGCCGGGGGCGGGTCTGCACAAGGCCCCTTCGCTCAGCTCCGCCCAGGCATTGGACTCCCAGCCTCGTGCTGCCATCCAGGGTCTGGGGGCTGAGAAGGAGGAACCCGGTGGAGAACCGGAGAAGGTGGCTGGCAGACAGGCCTAGGGGGTAAGGAAAGCTTGACCCTGGGGGAAGAAGGGGAGGAGAGAGAGAGAGAGAGAGAGAGAGAGAGAGAGAGAGAGAGAGAGGCGGGTGCACCTCTGTGCTCGAAGGGCCGCCTGCACCCCTGGGGGCACGCGTCACCCCGCCCAGCCGGGACTCCCTAGCGCCGAGTCCCAGCCAAGGCCTGCGAGTCTGGGGCTCCCTTTCTCCTGTCCCGCCCCTAGTCCTTCCTCCAAAACCTTTGGCCAGAGTCTGCTTGCCAACATTCCTAAATCTCCTTTGCCAGCTCGTTGCACCAGGTTAGGAATAAGGCTCTGCTTTCGGGTGCGTACATAAACGCCAGTTCCCGTAAGGTTAGTGACCTCTACACCTTCCCCACGAGCTCCTTCGGAGGGGGTCCGCGGGCATTTACCCCACTCAAGGACCTAATCAGTGGCCAAAACCAGTTTATTCCCTGAAATCTCCTTGCCATTCATATCCTCAGAGGCCTTCTGCTGCGGTTCTGGGAAAGCCTCGGTGATGGAACTAAGAGGCGGCCAGGGGAAGGGAGAGTGGGCGGAAGCTAGAGGGCCACGCGGGGTAACCAAGGCCTGAGTCCTGGAAAGGGCACCGTTAGGACCCTCACAAGAGCAAACCCTTTCCCCGCTGCCACTGCTCCCCCTCCCGTGAGATGCACACAAACCGGGGCCACTGAACCCCTTATTTCCAAACCCCGAACGCCTGAGCTCCGAAACGTGAGGCTGGGCGGGGGCGGGCGACAGCTCCCCGTTTTCCCCAGCTAGCACCACCGCCCGGCCTCCGGCATTCCCGCCGACCCAGAGGAGGGGACACCAAATCTCTGGGCAGCCAGGTGCGACGGGCACCAGTGCGCACCAGAAGCGGGCAGGGAGGCGGTGGTCCGGCTCGGATTGATGTGGCAGCGACACTGCCGACCCCCGCCCGGCGCTAGGGTGACTCCAGCTTCGCTCTACGCCGGTCCCTGCAGTCCTGGCCCGGGGCGTCTAGCGGCGCCCTTCAGCTCCTGCCACAGGTCTCGGGGCGGCACCACCGGGAGTGGCAGGGGCTGGCTCCCCGCTCCTCGCCCCGCGGACGCGGGTGGAGGATTCTGAGTTGTGAGAGGCAGCCACCGCCTCCCTGGCGCTCCGCGCTCCAGGCGGCCGGATCCTGTAGAATCTACAGTGTAGATCCTTGGAGAGCTGCCGGCTGTATCCCGGGGGTCGCGAGCGAGTACGCCGAGATCAGCAGGCCCGACCCCATCGCTGGCTCACCTTGATGCCCCCCTACCCAAACACACAGGCCCTGAACCTGCAGGGCCTCCGGGAGAGACTGAGCAAAGGACGAGGAAAGCACTCCCAAGGAAACTTGTTCCTCCTCTCCCCGCAGACACAGACTGGCCAGCCAGTGCGGGGAGAGGGGCGGGAGGGAGTGGGGGAAGGGCTCCGGGAAGGACGGGAGGAAGTGGAGGGGAGGGGAGGGGTAAGGGAGGAGGCTGCAGTTGGTGAAACTCCTCTGCCTCGGCTCTTCTCATTGCTTGCTCCTCTCCTTCACGCAGACACCCGGACCTCCCCTGGGCGCCAGCTCCAGGGCTCCAACGGGTCCAGAGACAAGCCGGGTTTATTTTTCCTTTCTGGAAATTGGCTTTGGTGTGTGCTTCCCTCCCACGCACCTCCCCCCCCTCTTTTCCTCCCTCCTTTGAGACATGGCTCGGGCAGTGGCTCCTGGAAGAGGAACAAGTGTGGGAAAAGAGAGAGGAAACCGAAGCTAAATGACAGGATGCAGGAGACTTGAGACACAAGAAGAGAAGCGTAGCTCTCGGAAGAAGTCACTGCCTCACTGCTTTTCTTTCTCCAAGAGGGACTGAGGATTTTACAGCTCTGGGCGGATTTGAGAGCTTTGGATTGTTTAGATTCCCCCTTTTGCTCTGTTTTCCCCGCCCGTCCTTGTTCTCTCGAACCTGCTTGGGGATCCGTCGTAGGGAGAATGGAGAGGAGGCTGCTGCTCTTTGGCGCCGCGCTCACCCTCGCCCTCGCCCAGGCCAGCGCTTTTCGCAACGGTAAGTGACAGGCGGAGGCGCTCGAGACAGCGCCCGCCCTGGGCTCAGGGCTGCCGGGTCCGGCCGGGCTTGGTTTCCCGCCCAGCTACGATTCCTGCGGCGCTGTTGGGATGAACCCGGAGTAGCCACTTCATGGGCGAAGGAAACTTTTATCCAGGCGGAGAAATAAAGAAATCAGATCGGTCGGTTAAGGGCAGGAATATTTTAAGCCTTCTGTCTCCCTCCTGAAGTTTGTGGTCTGGCTATGGGGGTTTTCCTATCTCTGCTACAAGGTAGCTCTGCCTACCTTCCCAGATCAACACACCAATTACCTTAATAATGTTTCCTCCCAAAGGCAATTAGATGAGACACCCTTTCAAAAATCTATGGCTGTTGAAAGTGAATGAAGGCTTTACCAGTACTCCCTGTTCTCTTCTGCTCCCTTAACTGTTTCCTCTGGTGGGTGCCTCTAAGAGATAGCGGTTGGTTGATTGATGGAACTCCTCCCGCCTTTGTAAATCGTCCCTAATCCGTCTGGAGCATGAATAAAAGTTACAGTGTCAATACAGGAATCTGATGTATACAGTGTAGGCACCAGGATATCTGAAAATCCCGAACCTAGCTGAAGCTTCCACTGAGCTTTACAACGACTCACTGTTAAATAAATGGAACACTGTGCTGTGGTATAAACAGTATCCTGTAACCTAAATAATGTGTTTTAATTTGTGATCTGATTGTAGGCATGTTTCATTTACCCTGTGAAGTTAAGGATATGAAATTATCTTTACAGTGAGTCTTCAGCAATTATTATTAACTAATGATCAAATATTTACTCCTTGGGTGGTGAAGGCTTGGGGAGGGGCAATGTGAGAAAAAGGGATATGTAATAGTTTCAACAATAAAGATTTATAAACATATATATATTTACTCTGGTTTAGATTTCAATCAAAGTAATTAGAAGAAAAGCCCATCCACTACTTACTGTAGTATATTGTTTTAACAAGAGACCATAAGGGGAGGGTGTTCAGACCAGGAGGGATTTAAATCCTATCTTTATGATGGAAGTTAATCTCTCTAATATGCTTTTTGGGGGTTTTGTGATTGAAGCTATAAATTTCGTCCCCACAGCTCCTAAGTAGTGTTCTGAAAGATAGGCTTGGAAACAAAACACGCGCACACACACACACACACACACACACACACACACACAACTGCAAATGCAGAGTTCAATTTAGTACTGAACCTGGGGTCGTGGTATATTTTTATAATTTGGTAGGGGATAAAATAACACTCTCCTCCAATTGAAGATAACACTCTCCTCCAATTGAAGGAGCTCAGGTGGTTAGACTTTAGAAATTACAGAAACTCACCCTCCCCAACTCCTGAGAATAAATCAGTAGCGATGTTCACAGGATGGATTTGAAACCTAATGCAAATAGCTTTCAGACTTGAGGTTGTGACCCCTCTCTATCTCTCTCTCTCTCCAAGGTGTCCCCCCAAATGTATACACACTTTAACAGCTGATAGTTCAATTTTGAAAATGAAATGTATTTTAATAAGCACTGCCTTTATAATTATTCAAAGTCTGTGCATACATTTTTGGATACCCTATATATGTTATAAATGTGTGTATATATGTATATATATATATTTTTTCCTTAGCAGAAATCTGGGGGATACTAGGAACCTGAGCTTGAGTTGGTAAGCTTGATAAGTTAAAGCCATGTTGCTATGCTTGCAGTGACCACAACTTCAGTAGCTCAGCAGACCTCTTAAAGCCATGTCCACCTCCTGTGAGTCCCAGTGTCTGCTAAATTAATTCATTAACCTTATTTAGGACTAATGGTCCAGAGTCATTAGAAATTGCTCTTTCTTAATCAACTGCTAGAGAGATTGAACAGAGCCAGGGAGTCTAGCAGTCCACATTATCTTATTACACTGTCACTTTCTCAGAAGTCACAGATTAAAGAGCTCTGGTGTGGTACTGAGGCCACCTAAATGTCTCTGCAGTGACTCTGTCGAGTAACTAGAAGCAGTACTGTTTTATTTCACTCCTCTAACAGATAACAGACTATGCCATGATATCCGTACAGAGCTGGAGGAGACTTAATGAGATGGGGTCACTTTCCAAGTTTTTTTGCACATTTTAAATAAAGTAAGAGCCTGGGTAGAATCACACAACAACTTCCAATATGATCATTAGCTGAGATTCTGAACTCCAGTTGCAACATCATTTCTTCTGGGCAAATCTTAAGCTTTTAAAAGCCAAGGCAGAGGTAATCAGTGTGCCATTTCTAGTCTAAGAAACATAGAAACATCTAGCAATTGAGGAAAACAATATAATTCATATTGTCTTCTTTTTAATTTATGGGAAATGATTTCTGTAATGCATGTAGCTTTATGCATTTTTGATGTGCACTTTATCTTTCATTTCCATTTGACCTGGTTTTCCTGTAATAAAATTCTGTAGATTTGTAAATTCATGCTGAGAGCAAAGAATGCTATTCTCTTTCCACAGGGAATCTATTAGATGCAATATTAAAATCTATATATACCATTATTGAAATTTTGTGATTGATAGGCTTATATGTTTCACTGCTTTCATACCTGTTCCTCTTTCATAGTTTATTCACTGAATTTTTATTGCTCAAAATTAAGCATCAATAAATGCGGCTGCATTTCAGGCTGAGTATGAAATCCATCATAAAAAGTGACAATGAGAATCTATGCTGAACAAGAAATCAGCCTGGAGACTGGTTTATTTAATTAATGAATCACTTCAGCATTTGGGTTTTTTTTGCAATGAAAGCTCAAAAAGAGTTAGCTCACCTTTCCCAGAATGTGAGAATGGGGCTTACCATATGTATTATCAGACAGATCTTAGTGTGGTGGATTTTTTCAACATGTAGATAATTGGAATTATTTTTCTTCTGCCCCATTATTTTGATCTGGTCTCCCAGCCCCAGCAACTTTACTTGGAGAAATAGAGTAGAATTATTTCTGCTTCACCAAATAGACTTTGTTCTGTGTTAATCTGAATGGAGCAGAGATAACACACAATCACTTAGATTTATGGGCAGATAAAACAACAGAAAAGGTTTGTCTTGTAAGCCAATCCCCACTGACCAATGACACAGACCAAGCTTATCATCAAAAGCTACAGAAGGGTTCCAATAGCATTATGTAGTCACCTTTCACTTAGAACTTGCTACTTAATTCGATTACACTTCTTTGGGGATAATTAAGTCTAGCAGAAGCTCCCTGGAACCCTGTTAACATCCATTGAGGGGACTCCATGTTTTTAATGCTAGAAGACCTTTGTCTTGGGACAGAAGTTTGTGGGGGTGGGGTGGTGGGGATCCAGTCATTTTAGATCTCAGTTCACTTTCCTCCTGATCCAACCTTCCCTGGGATCAAAGAGCATCCTTGGTGGGGCGTTACTATCTGTATACGCGCCACCTGAAGGACCTGCAGGGGTCAGAATTCTCCATACGAAGTTATGGGGTGTTCAATAGCTGGTAATTTACATACAAAGCTAGAGTACCTAACTGGTTGTGAGGGGAAAGATCTACTAAAATGTTATTTTCATTACAGATAAATGTGGCAATACTATAAAAATTGAAAACCCCGGGTACCTTACATCTCCTGGTTATCCTCATTCTTATCACCCAAGTGAAAAATGTGAATGGTTGATTCAGGCTCCAGAACCATACCAGAGAATTATGATCAACTTCAACCCTCACTTTGATTTGGAGGACCGAGACTGCAAGTAAGTAAGAGCGTTATTTGAACGGGGCACCACAGCACCATCTAGTGGTCGCGATGTCTAACGGGGCATCCTGAGTGTACAATCTGGGATATAAATGGATCCAGGGGGCATTCCAGTCTAGGCCCGATTACATGTCAGTGGGTATGGAAATTAAATTATGTTAAGTGATTTCTGAGTTTCCCAAACTAGGAAGGTTATATTTAAATGTGCAATCGCTCATATTATTTTTCCTGTTAACACTTTTGGTTTTGAAATATGTATACATGTGTCTTCCCTCCATCCCCACCTGGAAAGGAGAACTAGAAACCCAAACTTTCATTTGAGTTTTTATTAAATATTGGGAGTTACTAACATTTGTGGCATTGAAAGACAGTAAGATTGGATATTTTTGTGACAAATCTGTGGCACATTTTGTAATTTAAGAACTATCTTATTGGCATGACAAAAGAAAATTGTCATTGAAAATAAAAGGAATATAGGGTAAGTTGGATAAGGGGATTTTTATGGTGGATAAATGATTGCAAATCTTTTATTGAAGATGAGTAAAATAATTATTAATGCACAATGAGTAAAATGAGACTCAAATATGAATCAGTATTTCATTCATCTGTTTTAGTTTTGCTATCTCCTTCTAATTATTAAGTTATGAAGCATTGTTAAGTTATTATGCCAGATTTCATTATTATGAAAACAGTCGCACTATAGAGTCTAAATTATATTTCCCCACTTTATGTGAACAAACTGGTGTTCAGTTTTCCACAGTATGGAAGGGAAGTGTTGACATTGCAGGCAGCAGTCCACAAAGAGCCAGATTTACTCTTCTCTCTGGACAGCCAACAGACCCCCATCTCTGTTTTGTCCACATCATCCCACTCTGCCCTACTGCTCATGGTGTATTCTCCAGAGATTTGAAGCTGAATATCAATTTTTAATGAAGTTTAGACATATAAATAGTTTGAACAAAGGAAAACAATCTAGTTAAATCTGAATTCTAAAGTGTCTCTCAGGGATATGTTTCCCAAGTTTTAAAATGGGTCAGTTTGATATCATTGTATATAATCTATATAGATTACTACTTTCACTGGATATCAACATTATTATGTAGGCACACTCATTATTAAAAGTATTCTATCTGAAAACACATAACTCTTTTAGGAAAGAACAGAGTAATCTGAAAACATTCCCACCTGTAGTAAGTCCTCAATAGCATGTTGAGTTGGTGGGGTAAACTAATTTTTCATGGACAGGGTATTGACTTCATCTGGTTAACTAGAATGTTAACTCAATATTCTAGTGCACACAGAATTAGCAATTCATATACTGTTGATCAATTTCCAAGTAATCAGCATACACTATAGTACAATAGAATTATGCTGATTCTAATTTAATCTTTGTCCTGTGATTCAGAGGTGCTTCAGGATATTAAATTGACTTTTTAAATCTTGTATGAAAGTTGTCATTAATAGAATGTTACAGTGACTGCTAAGAAACAGAGCTTATTGTATTTTGGGGGGGGGTCAATATTCTGTATGGTGGTTTTTACATTGTCAATCACCTAGATAGCCTAGAGACTTGTTTCTATTTTATTTTTGCTTTTTGACAATACTTAAACTGCTATAGGACATGTTTTTAAGAAACGCTGATAAAACATATTCAAGAAATGAAATTATTCTCCAAAATAAGGTGCTATTAAATTTCAATAAACTCACATTTACTAATTCCTGATCTGAAAATCATGACCATGTGTATGTGTAATATAATAGTTAAAGAATTCAGAATACTCAGTGGTTATTAGCAGTGGTGTGCTGGTAAATGTTTGACAATTTCTGTAGTATAAATACTCCCTCCATGGCCAATTTTAAACTACCCTTGCGATGTCACTCTGCACAGAGTTGCAAAGAGATGTCTACAGTTGGTTCTTGTGAGCTGGTGCAAGCCAACTCCAGGACACAACTGGAGTGGAAATGTAAGAAAGGGAAGCCAGTTGAGTGTGTTAATATACATAAAGTGCTTACAGCAGTGTCTGGCACACAGTAAGCCTTAAATATTTGCCATACCATGGTGTGAGGTAGGATATGGTGGGATTTTAGTTAGTTTTCTTTTTTAAGATGAGAAGAAAACCGGTAATTGTATTTTCAAGGGAGAGACAATTTTAGTGATGTTAGCAAGGTAGTTCAATAAACTGATGTGGCCAAGAATATTGTTTCTGTAATTATGATGGTGATATTTTTTAATGCTAGAGTAAGGTGATTTCTTAATTATGGTAACTGAGAGTTTGTTCTCTGTGAAGGTGCCATTTCCTAGCCAGTCTTGAAAGTCTATTTTTAGCCTGATGAAGTCAATGAACGTTGTGGCATGGAAAGTATCTTTGTGCCATGTTTTGAAGTATTGTTATCTGATCATTTTATCAATGAAAATTCAAAAAACAATATTGATAAACCAACTTAGGACATTGTAGTTTCTATTTTTTCAGGTTGCTCCACATGATTACTAGTTATTGTTGAAGGTTGTAGTTGAAATTCTACAAATGGCGGCAGAATTCTTATCTCCTTTTGAAAAGGCTGTGAGAAGAATCAACAGCTTTATATTTTGTGGGGGGAGGCGGTAGAATTTCCTACAAAACGTGGAAACCACCAGAAACTCGTGGAACAACAAATTCATAGACTTCAAAAGTTTATGTTAGATGCACAAAAACATAACTTTTGGGTTCTGGTGGGTTTTGTGTTTGTTTTTTTAAATTTCTATTAGGCTACTTCCAAAATTGTATTTGAAATGGTACAAAACTAGTTATAATAAATCAATTCAGAAGTCTTTTGGTCATTATTCTTGGTAAGAGCAAACTGTTGTCTTGAGATATTTTCTTTCCCTTTCTCAGCTATATTATATGTACTTGTACCAATGTCATAAGGTTACTGTAGTGGATAATGAGATAGTGGATATGAGAGCCCTTTGAAAAGTTAAAAGTTCCCCTCAAAAGAAGTTATCATTTAAAAAAAAATTTTATTGATTTCAGAGAGGAAGGGGAAGGGAGAGATAGATAGAAACATCAATGATGAGAGAAAATCATTGATTGGTTGCCTTCTGCACTCCCCACTCCCCACTGCAGATCAAGCCCAAAACCGGGGCATGTGCCCTTGACCAGAATTGAACCGGGGACCCTTCATTCCGCAGGCTGACTATCTATCAACTGAGCCAAACCAGCTAGGGCAAGACATTATCATTTTTTACAATATCTTTACAACTGGATGATTGTTAGAACATTTGGAAATATAAAGTTAAGCATATGTCTAACTGAATATATCGATCTAGTAATGGGATGATCATGTAATACACCCCACATTTTCTCTTGATATCATCAGTATTTGTGTAGTCAACTTTCACCACGTGAAAGCTCAAGAAATAAATTCCTGAGCGCATTTACTTATTGAGAAACATCCTTGAGAGCCAAGTAAACAATTATTTTTCTGTAAGGTATAGAGGTGGATAAGTAATAAAATAGATTAGTTATGGTAAACCAAATTTTCATTTAAATTTTACTGTTTTATTTGTAATTAAATAAATAAACTGCTTCATAATTTTAACAATATAATTTATGATTTATTTATTACAACTTTTCATGTGTATAACACCAAGACTGACCCAATACAAAAGTGCATATTGGGATGGGGGAGGGTAAGGAGGTTGTTGTTTCCTTAGGGAAAAATAGTGTGCAGCTTGTGCTTATTAGTTTTAAAATGCAACAGTCTATGTTTATGCCACCACTGAATCAGTTTTCATTACAAATAAGCAGTGAAAAACAGAACACAGTATTATAACTTGCTGAATTCTTTTATTGAACAAGGGGTATTGATCAATCGTTCAGCAGAGTGTAAGTAGAACATCTGTCTGCAGGGCTAATTTTGTGCTAGGATTTCTGGCTTTATATACCGCCTGGTTTTATTGTTATGTTGATGTTGAGGGGGTTAGAGAATGTTCTGAGAGGAGAAGGTGTTAAGGAAATGGAAGGAATGATAAGTTCTCTTCTTGGCATCAGAGAATGCTCCATGTTGTGAAGTGTGGTGCTGCAGACATCTTGAATCTCATAAAACTTTATATCTGCATAATAAACAAGAATGTCATTGATACGATAGAATTTATGGAACCTTTCCAGTTTCCCAGCAAGGCAACCTATCAGCATGATAATTTATAAGGGTTGTGACAAATACTGCTGAGTAAAGAGGTGTGTGGTTACATTCAGATCAGATGTCGTCATCTGGGGAGCAATAAAAATTTCACAGGCATTGGGTTAAAAACATTAAGAAAATTAATGTGAAGCTCCAGAAAAGAATCTAAAAAGATGACAGTGCTGGGGGAGAAAGCCCAGTAGTTGTCTTCTTACTGACAAGTTCCTGACTTTAGTGACTGATTGTCAGTGCTGTTTTGTGGGATTTTCACTAGGACACAAGGCTAGCATGCATAGATAAACAATTTGCTGAGTTCTGTATAGAATTTAAATCTCTTCTTTGTGTAACCAATAATATGTGTCTTTTTTCTAACTTAATGCAATCAAAGGAAGATTTCACTCTAGTAACTTCATATGAAGTTTAATTACAATAAACTTATAATTAAATAGATGAATTTCAAGTTTAGGAATTGTGTTACATCATTAATTGTTTCTTTAATGATACTTTAAAAAGTACCTACATTATTATAAACTTTGAAACACTGCTCTTTCATTTATTTTAATAGAATATAAACTCACTGAATAAAAATTAATCTGCCCTTTGTTTTTTGAATCTGATTATTTCCACAAATTTAATTATATAATGGTCTATTATTCATTTGTTGGCAATTTGGGAAATATAGGTTCTATTTATGGTTTCCCTAAGTAATATTTTCTGTTTTGGATTTATTCACTTTGTTTAGCATGGATTGTGACAATAGGTTAGGTTTTTAAAAGATTCATTAAAATATTATTTATCTTGATTCGTGAGTTCTATGGCCTTTTGTATCCAAGGCAA